TTCCTCGCCTTCTGAAATTTGATTATATAACGGCCTATTGGATATAATGAGGTAAATGTTTTCTATCACACGAAATAAATCACTGTATGGTCAAAAGGCAAACTGTAAAAGGGATTGTGGAGGAACATTGACACAAAAGCTACTTCAATTACCCAAATAAGTGCAAGTGCTTCGTGGTGTAACAGTTCAGGAAAATAAGAAATAGTGAACTAGGGAAGTACGATATCTGGTGACAGGAATCTGATAAGGATGACTAACTGCGCACAGGATGGATGTGTCAAATAAATAGGAAGATGAACTACTGAGGAAAGCTTACGAGAACAAAACCCAAAATAGCAACAGTACTGAAGAGATGGAAAAGCAACTGTTCCACGACAGGCTGTTGACTGCAGATTGGAAGTAAGGGAAATGGTCTTTGATCAATCAAACAGCCTTCCTTTGGACACGATCAAGAAGACGAAGCCCACCCCAGGTGTGACTGCAATATACAAGTACAGGGTGGCTTGAGCTTCGTACTGTAGGAGATCAACCAGGATTCAAAAGCGGCTGGTGCGAAATGGAAGACCAACTTTGCAAGAAAACTGAGATTTTGAAAGAGTGGTGTTTTAGAGAATTTGAATAAATGGATTTCCTAAGCAATGAATACTTCATGATTAAGGTAGCCTCAGAAGATGCTCTCTAGGTTGAAGTTCACAATCACGTTACCTGCACTACAGTGATGCTCGACATTGGTACCGTTATGACGAGAAGTGTGGTAACAGGAAACAATACAGGATGGCGTCATCAGCAAAGGAATGAATTACGGATTGATAAATAATTACTGATTAGATGACAGTGTGCAACACATTTTACCGCAGTAGCATAACAGACAAGGCAGACTAACCGGTCGATAGTATTAAATTGAATAATCAAGAAAGAACTATTATCCACTTTGCACTCCATAGCATGTTTATATCAACACATTGATGTTGGGGAACCAGATGGGCATCTTACTATCTCACTGTATACGAGAAATATTCATATTAGAATACAGCTTCGCTGAGCTAGCATAATAATCGAACTTGTATTTTCATGGGTCAGTTTAGGTTGCTGACTTCCTACTGCTCCTTTGTTCGAACAATGAAGGAGTAAAGGAAGAATATCACAAGCCGATAGCAGTGCCCGAATAAAGATACAGCATGCAAGTAAACTAGATTAATGTGGAACGCGGGCAGATGCACGAATTCATTGAGATACATCACGAATTGCCTCTAACCATTGACAAAGTTGGTCACGAGATTCCCAACCCGATACGACTTATTTGACCACGGTTGGTCAAGATTTTCTTTCACTTATCCCAGACCGTGGTATGACAACGAATGGCACTCTATAAAACAATGCGTGCCTCAGCAAACATGGTGCGCCGAAGAATCCCATTTGGTGGTACCACGTGCACCAGACTACGCAATCCATGGAGGTCAAACATTTGCGCTCGGGTGTGACCGCGACTGTCTAATACTCTTAATTTAACCCCGGACATTGTTTGTCCGGGTCTGCGATGAGACATAGATAGTGGTGTTTGAACACAGTCTAACATTTTCCTTCTCTCGAAACGGGCAAGTTTTTTGACCATGTACTGGCGTTGGCCGAACTTCTGCACTCTGCACTTGGCCCTTCGCGTATATGGGGGGAGGGGGGAAATTTCTATTTCGCCTGTTCGCCGAGCTTGGCAAATTGTTTGCAAACGTTTCATCACCAGTTGAGGTGAAATCATCAACGCTTGTGAAGTGGGGAAGATTTCGCCGCAGGGCGAAGGTTGCTAATGGGAGCCCAGTATAGTCGTGGTCGAATGATCTGAATTATATTTGGTGCGCACCTATTTGTCACATTTTAGATCTGAATACCGTAACTTTGATTCCGTTGCACAATTTCTCCTCTAATTTATATTTTCGTACGTAGTTAAGTGCTCCAAATCCTCAATTGATGCGAGGTTTATCTTGAGATACGAAAATGGGATATGGTAGCGTTACGATTGAGATGATCCGTTGGTAAGGAGAAAAGAAAAAAGTGGGTTAAAAATGTTCTTTAGGTAACGAGATTTCTCAAGAATAATTCTTCCTGGATGGATCTTAATTCAGAGTAGATCACTTATTGTCCACATGTTTAACACATTTAAATGTGATCAAGTTTTGTGTGACGGTTCACAAACGGCACCGGACTGTTAAGTGATTTTTGCGACTTGTCATCAGCGCGCAGGCGAGTAACACTTGGCGTATGGAGTCGTTTGCCAAGCGGAATGTAGGCTGTTGTGTTTTTACAAGTGATGACATAAAACATTGTACTTTCTCCATTTTGACGGGATCTTTGATTTGGCAACCGAAAACATAAAACATGAGACGTACACATGGAAAGTGGAATGGGTTCAGGTACATAGAGAGGGTACGTAAAAACATGACTCACAAATAGCTGGATGAGTAAAACTGAATAAAACATCTCATATCTATGACTGGCAAGTTCTTCATGTGGATGGTGAGGATCAATGAATAGGAAAAAGATGTATAAGACAAGGATGCTAGAGTAAAACATGAAATAATGTCAATAATCGACAATGAAACAACCGCCTAGAGATGAGCTAGTGACCGGAGGCTGAATCCAAGACGATTCAATATTTATTGTACGATCCACAAAATAACAATCAAATATTCACACATGCGGGAGGGATTGAAAACTGTTCCTTACTGTGTCTTGTCTCCTTTGATTGAATCCGGATAGAATTGGTGAAGTTTCTGTTGTGACTTCTGTACAGACACGTGCCACATGATAATCTGCACTAGCATAGGCAGCTTCAGCAAAGCGTTGTGTTTGCACTTGTCTGTAACGGTCCGCTAGATTTAATCCTGCTGTAATGGGGCCGGTGTTATTCAGTCGTGATTCGGCCTCTAGAAAATGGCGAGGCTGATGATGTGGGAGTGTGCAAAGAGCAGGATGCATTAAAGATTAGAAAGTTAGTCAAAGAAACAATCAAAGAGTCACAAGAACAATCCTTTTCACTTCCTTTTGCATAGACAGCTGTACAACAAATTTTCAGGAAGGGGAAAGAGACCAGTCAAATGGCTTTCATGCGGGAAATGATCCACACGAATGGTCAATTTATTGTTGAGAGCACAGCACAAAATCAAATCATAATAGAGAAGTGTAGAGGTTTTCACGAGACAAACAGTATAGCAAACAGGCTTTTTTCGCAACTGCGTCTTCGAGCACTTATGGTAGTCGTTCCATCGAGCGAGGTGGGTATTAAAAAGCGGGCACCGCTCAGACATCCCAACCTTTGTTTAACTTTTTTCTATACCCAACCCTCTTACTTTGTCCTTCTTCCGACCTGTACCAGTCAATCAAACAACCTGGTTCTCGTTCCTTAGAGAGTACTATAAGTAATTTACCACGAAATAGATAGCATATTCTGAAGCCTCGCAGATCACGGAATCTCAGAACCCTGAACGTGAAAACTTCGAAGAAAATGAGTAAACAAGCTTGTCCGGCGTGTTTAACCTAATCTTCAGCAATCGGTGTTTCCTGCCTATCGCAGATGTGAATCCAGGATCCTACCACTACACCTTGTTCCATCAAAGTTTTAGCCAAAACCCGCAATGACTTGGCCTCGACCCACAATCCTCTATCCAAAACCCGCAATACTTCAGCCTTGATCCACCATGCTTTAGCCTCGACACACAAACTTTAGCAATACCACTACAGATGAGTCAGATAAAACGTATCGGAATATTCTGAGGTCCACGAATTTTCAAACAATCAATTTTCTACAAATGTTGGTATTGCAGAACTTGATTAAATGAGGTGCGGCGGTCACATGCTGCACCAAATGTTGATTGGAGAAGGTTTAAACGAGGTGATCGTATCGTGAAACCATTTGACACATCTCGTATGGCTTCAGTGTTTCTCTATAACATGCGATACTCCTGTGAGTAAAAATCTCAGGTGTAACACAAACGGTACATTGTTTTACATTCACAACCCCCCCTCCCCCTGAAATAAATGGAAGTGATACCACAAAAAAGTAAATGCCCACTGTAACGTATCTCCACTTAAAGTGAACTCCATTCTTGAGATGCTGATACATTAACAGACCGAGGATAAAAAACACCGTTCACAAAAAACCCATTAGTATCACTGATTCAATAACGCTGCAACATTTGGCAGAATTACGACGGTCGAGGCTCAGGAATCGCGGGTTTTGTCTAAAGCTTGATGAGAAAAAGTGTAGTAAAGGGGCTGTATTTTGTGAACGGTGTTTATTATCCTCGGCCTGTTAATGCATCAGTATCTCAAAAACGGAGTTCACTTTAAGTGGAGATACGGAACAGTGGCCATTTATTTTTGTGGTATCACTTTTCCATTTATTTCAGGGGGGTTGTGAATGTAAAACAATGTACCGTTTGTGTTACACCTGAGATTTTTACTCATAGCAGTAGCGCATGGTAGATTTCTTCTGTAGTGCCGTCATGCGGCATTCGATTTGTCCATAATAGGGTCATAAAAACGCACCATGATAGGCGATAGTAATATTTTTTGTACCTTATCTACTGTTATGCGCATCTGAAATATGGAAAACGCCAAATCGGATGGACAGGAAAGGCCCTATTGCTTCTCCAGTGCGGAAGATGGACGGAGATTAATCGAATGTACACTCACAGGTGATGATTCAAAAGAAAGTGCAAAAAACTCGGCATTAGGTAAGCACATATCGGGTCGGGAAATAACACTCCAACCCGAATCTTACAAAGCAAAATTCAACGAGTCCCCCCCCCCAAAAAAAAAAAAAAATTGTGTGACGTCGTCGATGAGAAACCTACAACCACATTGAAACAGTTAAAGGGAAGAATGAGAGACTTCCCTGGCACATCTATCAGCAAGACTTTGATTGATCGGTTGCTTAATGGAAGTCACTATTCTGTTAAGAAGCTGACCATCCGGCCCGTGGAACGGAACTCGGAGACTGTCAAAGTAAAACGGGCGGAATATGCCGATTGGTTACAGCGATCGGATAACGCGACAGTGAGGTTGTATATTGACCAGACCAATTACTGGTCATTCAGTCATCGGCTCCCAGAGGATCATGGACTCCACCCCACTGCCTTGTGGGTAAGGTTCTTTAGCCAAAGGCTCCGGGTAAGGTCCCCCAAGAAAACCGTCTACCTCGGCCTGGGCAACCGGGTAGTACCATGCCGACAAACAAACCATGGACTTATGACATACATACACACACACACACGTATGTCACAGAACATTACACTTCTGCAAAGCTTTCTCTTAAAATCGGCACGCAACGCTTACACCCGCCCCCCACACAATGCCCCCATTTTTTCCGCTGTTTGTCCCACCCCAAACGGTTCCACTGACGTATGCTCATGTAGTAGCTCGCCGCTATCCTATTTGACACCTGTCTGGGAACCGACCGTTCCATTTCTCCGATCTCACTCTGCGTTCAAACTGGCTTCATTCAACGTAAGAACTTTAATGCGTATAGGACAACAAGCAGGTTTGGCTCGTACGCTCGAAAGTCTAGAGATTGATGTGTGCTGTGTCTCGGAAACACGCACCCAGGATCCGAGCTCAGTGATCCCATTAACGTCTCCTTCCAACCCAAAAGAACCATTTCACCTGCACGTATCCGGGGACCCTATCGCTTCAGCGTCTGGTCAAGCAGGCGTTGGTATTGCCAGGGCCCAGGCTGGTCTATGGATTGGATCCTGACAGATAGCCGACTATGCACAGTGAGACTCAGAGACTTAAGTAAGGTCAAAATGCAGAAACCAAATGAAAGATGATTATTCGTGGTTCCTGCATACGCTCCCACAGAATGTAGCCCGAATACAGTCAATGACGCCATGTATCACAACCCACATGAGTTTCTTCGCAAAGCACCTAAGACGGATATCGTGATCCTGGTCGGAGACTTAAATGCACGCGTTGGCCGTCTGTCACCCAATAAAACTGCGCTTCGGCTGACCTCTACCCCACTACTACTATTACTACACGTTCGCGAAAACGAACACAATTGTCCCGCACAGTGGTGCTTCCGAGCTCATTGATGCAAGAAACTGAACTACTTCCGGCTCCGCCACAAATCCTGTGACCTGTTCAGTCCTGTCCTGTGAACGGATGCACCGGACAGATTTGGTGACCGCAAAAAGATGCGATGCAAACAGCTCGATGTCGCCAAGCTCTCTAACCCGGCAGTACTAGCCGATTACCAAAACGAGTTGGCCGCAGTGCTAACTACTACCCGTCCATGTAGCGTGGATCAATACTGGACAAATATTCAAAACGCAATGCACTCGGCCGGTTTACACAGTTGTGGCCTAACCCGCCGAGTTGTAAATCATTGGGTCTGCTACAACTCCCTCAGATTCCACGACGCGCGTCCGACAATCCCGGCGCACCGCGAGAACAACGAACAGCGCATCTCCTTGAAGCGTGAACTCACAAGAGTTTGAGAGACGACCGAGAGGCCTGGTGGACGCTACGTGCAAAGGAGATGGAATCAGCGGCTAGGTGTGGAAACAACCGGCAATTCCTCCAGCTTATCCGTGCGACAGGCCCCAAAAGACAGTGCGTTAGTGAAACAACCTACGAAGTAGATGGCACGCCAACAACCAGCCCTGAAACGCCACAAGGCAGCTGGATCAGAAGCCTGCCACCTGCTCTCTTTGAACATGGTGCAGATGCTCTCGTAAGAGAGCTTGTGAGACTGTTCTCTAAGATCTAGGAAACTGAAAGTGTATCCCACACATGGGGAGAATCGATTGTCACACCCATCGACAGGGAGGGCTGTCGCAACATATGTTCCAACCACAGGGACACAAGCCTGATTCCAATAGCGCCGAAGCTGCTGGTGTCCGTTTTATTACGCAGATTATGCCCATTCCGTGAGAAGCAAACCCGCGAGTGCCGGGCCGGGTTTCGTGCAAGCCGTGGATGCGTAGATCAAATCCTCACCCTCCGTCAGCTACTAGAACATCGCCGCGCATACAGACGACAAACCATTGTCGTGTTTTTAGAGATCAGAGCGGCTTTTGACTCCATCGATCGCCCCGCACTATGGAACTGTTTGCGGAGATACGGAGTACCCGAGAAGTATGTCTCACTCCTAAAAGCGCTCTGTCACCAGACCTCGTAGAAGGTTAGAGCACATGGTGTATTTTCACCCTCATTTCCTGCCACCAGTGGGGTGAGATAGGGTTGCCCTATCTCTCCGTTTCTCCTCAAGTTTGCCATAGATAATGTCCTACAAAACGCGTTACAAACGCTGGCGTCGAGCTTCTTCCTGGGAACAGAGTCGGAGACTTAGGGTATGCCGATGATATTGCCTTACTGGGTAACAACGCACCAAGATACAAAAGCCGTTGAATAATTTGGCAATTGAGGTTACTCCCTATGGTATGTCATTTGCACCTTCAAAGTGCAAAAGTATTGTGCAAGATTGGCAGGAACCCATTCCTGCACTTTCGTTGGGTAATGACACTCTGGAAGTAGTCGAGAGCTTTGTCTACATTGGGAGTTGCATAACGGCTGGCGGAGGTGTGGGTGAGGAGATATATCAAAGCGTGATCAGAGCTAGATTAGCGTTTATTAATCTGCGGCATCTCTGGTGCCGGCGCGACAGCCTTTTCACTCAAAGAATGTGTGTACTGCGCAACGGTACGCACCCTGTTGCTCTATGGCTGCGAGACCTAGCCTCTCCGAGAAGATCACGTCCAGCGACTATCAGTCTTCGACAACCAATATCTGCGCAACATCGCCCGCGTGTGGTGGGAGCATCGCATGAATAACGATGAAGTCAGACGACGAGTGCTAGGACCAGATAGTCTTCCTTTGAGCAAAATAATTTCACAGCATCGTCTTAGGTGGCTAGGGCACGTCCTACGAATGCCTGAGCACTGTCTACCACACCGTGCACTATTCTCAGACATCGG